AATCCTCTCATACATGCAGAGCAATCCTTGGCCCGGCCGATGCAGATCACAAGTTTAAAGCTGATGAAATTCTCTGTAGCAAAAAAACCCAAGCCACTCTATTGAAAGGCATCCAAAGGAGCAGCCCCGAGCTCTGCCTCCTGAGCAGCCGCGTGTGGTCCTGAATATCAATAGTGTGTGCAGGCTGGGGCCTCCAGAGCTGGCGATGAGGGGATAACCGGTGTCCTTGTCGTGCTGGTGTAATTAGGGTGTGACTAACAGCTCTTGACAATCTTCCAGCTGTTCAGCTTAACTCCTGCCTGCAAGGCAAGGCAGTCTCTGCTGCCTGCCAGACAGGCTCCCTGCCTGCCCACAGCATCCCTGAGAGGAAGTGGGCATGCAGAGGGAGACAGCTCTGCAGGGACTGAATTCCAGGATGAGGGGTTTGATGCCACAGCCCAGCCCTTGAGGCAAACAAAGTGACTGGGAAATGGTCATGTTTGTGACAAGGAGGTGGTTTTAGTTGTTGTCTGAAGGAGCTGACCTCATGTTTTCACCTGGAGAAAACATGCTTTTCCCGGTAGAGTGGGAGGAACAGCCTGAGCTTCAGGGCTGAGCACTGCTGGTTTGCCTCCTGGGGGGGGAGGAGAGGGGCAGGAAAACAGGCTGCCTTTGAGAGGTGGAGACTGGCTCCTGTTTGGGTTTGTCACCCACCAGTGGAAGCTGGAGAGGAGCCCAGGCTGGAGCTGCCAGGCTGGCAGAGGAGCTGGGCTCTTCTGGGCAGCTTTTGTCAGCTTCAGGGGTCACAGCCACTCCAGAAGTGGGTCCAGAGCATCCCACGGCTCATGGGGATGGGACAAACATGGCCCAAAGAGGAACCTCTGCCCTAGACATTACCGGCATAAATGCCCCATAATGGTGTTTACCACACCCCGTGTGGGTGGGGGGGGGTCTAAAAATAGGGGATGAGCTGGCTTAGATGGTTTGGCTGTTGTGCCTGGGACAAGGTGTGACTGCCCAGCAGCTTCCAAAGTTCAGGATGGGAGGGGGAGTTGTTAATTTTATTTGGCTGCCATAAATCTGAGTGGTGAGGGGTGTGGGCTTGCTGCTGGCGCTGGGCTCAGTGATGGGAAGGAGTTTCATGGCAGCTGCCCCCCTTCACAGGAGAGATCAAATCGAGTCCGTCTGAAAGCCCCTTGATGGAGAAGAACGTTGGTCCAAAGGAGGAGCAAGAGGAGGCCAAGGTGCCCCTGGGCGATGCCAAGGGCCCTGTTGCTGATGTGGGGTCGGCCATGCCCACCCGGGCAGCGGTGGAGGAGAGGATGGTCTCCTTCAACCTGGGGGAGCTGGAGGAGGCCCCGGAGCAGGAGAGGCTTCCCAGCCTCGACCTGAAGGAGACAAGCATTGACAGTGGTGAGTAGTGGGGGGTGATATGAGTGGTGGGACTCCCCCCACCTTAGGCATCCCTGGGTGTTAACCCCCCCACCTGCTGTCCCCCCCGGCAGGAGCTGTGCGGCTGCCCAATGGCAGCCTGGTCCACCTGAGCCAGGCAGTGGGCCACCAGCTGGGCTCAGGTGGGCAGTACCAGTACCACACCGTGCACAAGGACTCTGGCCTCTACAAGGAGCTGCTGCACAAACTACACCTGGCCAAGATGGGGGACTGCATGGGGGACTCGGGGGACAAGCCCCTGCGGCGCAATAACAGCTACACCTCCTACACCATGGCCATCTGCGGCATGCCCCTGGACTCACTGCGTGCCAGGGATGGCGAGGAGGGGGAGAGGCTGAGCTGGTCTGTGGTGGACACTAAGAAGAGAGTCCGCATGGACAGCTACACCAGCTACTGCAATGCAGTGGCAGACACCCACCCAGCTGTAGATGTGGACCTGAACACGGCCCAGGCAGAGCTGGGTGTCAGTGACCGCAAGGGCAGCAGCAGCTCTCTGGAAGAGTGGCACGACCAGGACAAGCCTGAGGTGTCCCTGCTCTTCCAGTTCCTGCAGATCCTCACGGCCTGCTTTGGCTCCTTTGCTCATGGTGGCAATGATGTCAGGTCAGTGGGGTCAGCGGGAGCTGAGGGGGCTGCTGGCTGGGGCTAGTGCCCACAGAATCATGGAATCGGAATGGTTTGGGTTGGAAGGGAGCTTAAAGATGATCTTGTTTCAACCCCCTGCCATGGGCAGGGACACCTTCCACTAGACCAGGTTGATCCAAGCCCTGTCCAGCCTGGCCTTGAACACTTCCAGGGATATTCCATCTTGCCAACAGCCTCTGGCCCTCTAGACCAGATCCTCTTTCTCTTCCAGCAATGCCATAGGGCCCCTGGTCGCACTCTACCTGGTCTATCAGACGGGCGATGTGGCTACCAAGGTGGCAACTCCCATCTGGCTGCTGCTCTATGGGGGTGCGGGGATTTGCATCGGCTTATGGGTCTGGGGAAGGAGAGTCATCCAGACAATGGGGAAGGACCTGACTCCCATCACACCATCCAGGTAAGGGATGCCGTGAAGCAAAGGGGAGGCTCCAGGCAGCCTGAGAGCTGCATCCTGTTCCAGGAGCCCCTCTCCCTTCTCTTTTAGGGGTTTCAATGGTGAAGCAGGGGTATGTGTGGCTCCAACACCTCCCTGCATCCTGGAAGGGGGTTGGTCTGAGTGTCTGGAGAGCCAAGCCAGGGGCTGACACTGCTGTGCTGCCTTGAGCTGAGCCCACTGGGTGTTTTGGGGTGTCTGGTTCTGTTCTCATCTCTTTTCTGTCCCTGCAGTGGCTTCAGCATCGAGCTGGCATCGGCGCTGACGGTGGTGATTGCCTCCAATGTTGGCCTCCCCATCAGCACAACTCACTGCAAGGTAGGGGGTTGGCAGGGGAGATGGTGCTGGCTCAGTGTGAGCTCAGCGTCCCCAAAACTTAGTGCTCGTAGGGCCAAGCTGGGGGGGGGGTCCTGCTCTGGGCCTCCAGCCACTGTCAGCTCCTGGCTATGCCACTTGCATCTCAATGTGAGGCAGCAGCGGCTGCCTGGGCTGGGGGGGGCATCCCTGGCACACTTGGAAGGTGATGGGAAAACAAAACGCCTTTCATGGTCCCCTGGGCTCTGCCAAGAGGCCATGGGAACCCAAGTGCTGCAGGGCCCTGTCCCTAACACCCAAGTGCTGCAGGGCCCTGTCCCTAACACCCATCTGGGGTGGCAGCTCCTTGCCCTGCACTCCCTGCCTGTAGGGACCTCTGTGAGGTCCCTACAGGCTGGAGCAGGACCCAGGGCTGTGGGGTGCATGTCAGGTGAAGGTGTGCACATCAGGTGGGTGCAGACCCTCACTGCGGTGCTGAGCCATGCTCTGGCTCCTTTGGCAGGTGGGCTCAGTGGTCTCAGTGGGCTGGCTGCGCTCCAGGAAGGCAGTGGACTGGCGCCTCTTCCGCAACATCTTCATGGCCTGGTTTGTCACCGTCCCCATCTCCGGCCTCATTAGTGCTGCCATCATGGCTGTCTTCAAGTTTGCTGTCCTGAAGGTGTGAGGGCACCAGGGCTCCCACTGCTCCTGCTTCCCACTGCTGCCCTCCCTCCAGGAGCCACCGAAGCTGCCTGCTGTGGGGTGGGGCTCCCCCATGTCTGCCTAGTGCTGTCACTGAAGTATCTTTTTTAATATAAAATGTCTTGGCGCTAACATCGTGGGGGGTGCACCACCGTGGCTGTACATGCCCCCAGGTGGCCCCTCTGCTCTGCTGTAGCTGTAGATTAGCAGTTACCGCGGGCCACTTTTTCACTTCTAATGACTTTAATGAAGATCCTCCGGCAGTGATTCCTTGGGGGAAGGATGTAGGTTGGTCCTTGCCCTCTGTGTGAGGGGAGGGCTGGGGGGTGGTGGGGCACCCCCCTCACAGGCTGTGCTGTGTTCAGCTTTGCCTCCATTGCTGTAGTGGTGCAGACACCATCGTGCTCGGGGACGCCATCCTGCGCGGGGGTCCTGGGGGCTGCCCTCTGGCCCCATCACTGCTGCTACCTCGGACTCAATAAAGATTTCCTTCGTATGCCAGCAGTGCCTGTGGTTCTGGGGAGTGAGGGTGCTGGGGTGGCTGCTGCCTCATGGCCCTGCCTGCCTTGGCCTCGTGCCCCCGGAGCAAACTGGGAACGATGATAAGAGCCCCACGTGCCCTCTGTGTCATGGGATGGGCTGTAAACAGCCTCGCGGGGGGGGGGGGCGGTTATCGGGGCCCAACACCTGGGGCAGTTCCTGTCCCTGTCACCAGCCCCGTGGTGTGCATGTGCCCCCTCCTCAGCCCGGGGCAACAACTGCTCCAACGCCCTCCTCCATGTGCCCGGGGATGCTCCCTCCTGCCTGGGTCAAGGCCGGTCCCGGGGACCCGCGTCAGCAGTCCCGGCGTGTCGCAAGAAGTGGGGCGAAAGGGCGGGGGGTGCTGAGGGATGGGGATGGGTCCGTGGGGGACGCACGTGGGGTTCGGGAGGTGCCTTATGTGCTGCGTGGGAACGCGAGCCACGAAGCCCCGCGGACCGGGGGTCGTTTTGTCCCAGGGGACGTGGGTGTTCCCTCCTGTCCCTACCCCCCGGTGTGAGGCCGGGGCGCCCCTCGCGCCGGCCCCGCTCCCGCCCTCTGACGGGTCCGCGGCGTCCATCGGGGCGGCCTCGGGGCGGCAGCGGGGCCGGTCCCTGACCCCGGTTAATGATTCGCCACCGGTCGCTCCCCTCTGCCAGTGGCGTCTCTGAGCAAACACTGGCCCGGGGCTCCGAGAGCTGCGGGCCGGGGGGGTGGCGGGAGCAGCGCTGGGGGACACTGCTGGGGAGGGGGAGCCCCGTGCACTGCCCTGTGTGCGGGGGCGCGCGTGGGGAGGTGTCACTGCCCCAGGGAGGGGGCATGGCAGAGTCACCGCCCCATTTGGGGTCACCACTCCGGGGTGCCCCGGGTTGGTCCCGGCTGTGCTGCCCGGGGGGGCCGGGCCGGGGGCCGGGGCGGGGCGGTCCCGCGGGGCCCCCTTAAAGCGGCGGCGGCCGCGGGCGGTGGCCGGAGGCGGTGGCGATGGGCAGCGAGGGGGAGCGAGGCCCGGCGGCGGCCCCGAGCCCGGGGCAGGGCGACCCGCAGGCGCTGCGGAGGGACTGCCAGCACCGGTGGGCGGGAGGGGGCTGGGGGAGCGAGGGGCTGTGGGTGCAGCAGGACTTGAGGCTCCTTGGAGAGAGTTGGGAGGGGACAAGTGGGGAGGGCGCATGGAGGGGGGGAGGCAAGACCCAAGGGAGGGGCACTGGGGTTCAGGTACGGGAGGGGAATCTTGGGGGGAGTCAGGAAGGGAGCGGAGCCCCTGGGGGTCACCCCACGTAGACATATCAGGTGTGGGGGCAGGCCAAAACAGGGGCCCACAGTCCCCCCTCCCACGCATCTCCCTTCCTGCTCCCCCCCAGCTCCATTTCCATCTCAAAAGCCCATTTTTCTGCTCCAATAACTCGCTATGGGGCCCTTGAGCTGGGGCAGGCACACCGTCACAGAGCACTGACCAGGGACCGGGATGGGGGAACACATCCCCATCCCCTCCTTTGTGCCACCCCCAGCCCTAAACACCCCCCCTTCCCCATAACTCCTCCCCCCACCTGATTACCCCCAGGATCTTTGTCAACCGGAGCCTGGCGCTGGAGAAGATCAAGTGCTTTGGCTTTGACATGGACTACACCTTGGCCAGTGCGTTTTTGGGGAACCTAAGACAGGGTGGGGCAGTGGTGGGACCCCCCCCAAGGCCCTGTCCACATCCCTTCTGACTCCCTACAGTGTACAAGTCCCCCGACTACGAGGAGCTGGCTTTTGCCCTGTTGCTGGAGCACCTTGTCGCCATTGGGTACCCCCCCGAGATCCTTGCCTACAAGTATGACCCCACGTTCCCCACTCGGTGAGTTTGGGGAGGGGGTCCGGGGGAAGAGGGGTGAGATCCCCACCCATTGACAGCTGTGTGTTGCAGGGGGCTGGTGTTCGATGCCCTGTATGGGAACCTGTTGAAGGTGGATTCCCATGGGAACCTGCTAGTCTGTGCCCATGGCTTCCGCTTCCTCAAGGGGTGAGTTTGGAAATCCCCTGCCTCAGGGGTAGGGGGGAGCAGGGGGACCCTTGGAGTGGGGTGCAGCTCCATGCTCCCTCCCCAGAGCCGAAATCCTCCACTATTACCCCAATAAGTTTATCCAGCGGGATGACATGAAGCGCTTCCACATCCTCAACACACTCTTCAACCTCACGGGTGAGACACAACCCGTCTCCCTCACACCCCACCACCTTGGGGTGCTGTCCTGTCCTGCACCCCCTCTCACATATCCCTCCCACACAGAGGCCCACCTCTATGCCTGTCTTGTGGACTTCTTCACCAACTGCTCCAGATACGTAAAGTAAGAGGGAGGTGATGGGTGGGGGCTTGCTGGTGGATCAGATGGCGGGGGGGGTAATCTTGCAGAGGAGCTTCACTTGGCAGGGCAGCCCCTTCACCCCCTCCATTCCTGATTGTTGCAGCTGCGATACCGGCTACAGACATGGGAACCTCTTCATGTCCTTCCGCAGCATGTTCCAGGATGTGCGTGAGGCCATGGACCACGTCCACCTCTCTGTGGGTGCAGTGGGCAGGAGGCTGGTGGGAGGAGGGTTATGGGAGTGCTGGAGATTCCCCACAAACACCCTGGGAGGTTTTGGCCAGCCCCCTCCCTTCATCCACTCTGCAGGGCTGCCTGAAGGAGAAGACGCTGGAGAACCTGGAGAAATACGTGGTGAAAGATGTATGTGCAGACTCTCATGGACCCCTCACTACCCTGCTCCCCTTTGCCAGTTCCCCTTGGTCCCCCCAAGCCCACTCCATGCTGATTTGCCCCTCACCAGCCCCGTGTGCCACTGCTGCTGAGCCGCATGAAGGAGGTGGGGAAGGTCTTCCTGGCCACCAACAGTGACTATACGTACACGGATGTGAGTAAGGGGTGTCCATGTGCTCCCCCTGCCAGGTCCAGCTTGCCCTTGATGGGGGTGGCAGAGGGGAGGGTGTCAAAGCGCAGTCAGTGTCTGCCTTCCCTGGGGATGGGTGACAGTGCTGGATGTCCTTGCAGGCCATCATGTCCTACCTGTTTGACTTCAGAGATGGGGACAAGGTGAGTCTGTCCCCACTGTGGGCAGAGTGGGGGGCTCAGGGTGCCATCAGCAACCTCTTGCTGACCCCCCCCCTCCCTGGCATCCACAGGTGGACACCCCGCAGCGCCCCTGGAGGTCTTATTTTGACCTGATTGTGGTGGACACCCGCAAGCCCCTCTTCTTCGCTGAGGGCACTGTCCTGCGCCAAGTTGACACGGTGGGGACCCCTCCCCCGTTGTGGGGCCAGCTGGGGCAGTGGGCACTATTTGAGCACTATGGGGGCTTCTGTGGGCAGAGCAGGGTAGATTCACCATTGGGTGGGCACCAAGTGGACGCAGATAATGGTGTTCCTATCCCGGAGTCCTCTTGTCCCGTAGGACACAGGGAAGCTGCGCATTGGGACGTACACCGGCCCCCTCCAGCACTGCACTGTCTACTCTGGCGGTAAGTGCCAGGCCAGGCTCCAGTCAGGGGGGGACATGCCCATGCCCCCACCCTGACCCTTGGCTGTCACAGGCTCCTCAGATGTGGTGTGTGACCTCCTGGGCGTGAAAGGCAAAGACATCCTTTACATGGGGGACCACATCTTTGGGGACATCCTCAAGTCCAAGAAGCGGCAGGGTTGGCGCACCTTCCTGGTGGTGCCTGAGCTGGCCCGTGAGCTGCAGGTCTGGACAGAGAAGAGCGGTGAGCAATGCCTGGCTGGGGACACAGACCCTGCCCTGCTGGCGGACGTGGCCTGGAGTGTCCTATGCCTCTCGATGGCAAAACCGCCCCAGTGGGCTGTGCCCTGACCCTCTGGGTCAGTCATGCTGGGCAGTGGGGGATGTTCCCACACTGAGCCAGCCACGTTGACCTTGCAGAGCTGTTTGAGGAGCTGCGGAGCCTTGATCTCTTTCTGGCTGAGCTGTACCAGTGAGTGGGTGAGGGGAGTAGGGAGGGGTGGGAACACCTGTGGGGGACCTCCCAGGTGAGCCTCCAGCTGGATCTATCCTGTTCCAGGCACTTGGACAGTGGCAGCAGTGAGCGCCCAGACATTAGCTCCATCAAGCGCCGGATCCAGGTGACACTCAGGACACCATCCCAGCTGGCACACAACTCAGTCCCACCCCCCTCCAACGACTTCCCCTTTGGGCACCCCGGGGGGCATTGGGTGCCCTGACTGTCTTGCTGCACCCCCAGAAAGTCACACATGAGATGGACATGTGCTACGGGAAGATGGGCAGCCTCTTCCGCTGCGGCTCACGCCAGACGCTCTTCGCCAACCAGTTGATGCGCTACGCAGACCTCTATGCCGCCTCCTTCATCAACTTCCTCTACTACCCCTTCAGCTACCTCTTCCGGGCACCCCCTGTCCTGGTACGCAGCCCCCAACCCCCCCTGCTCACCTACTATGCCTCAGTTTCCCTCTCTACCTGAGGGGGGCATGGGGCTGATGGAAGCATTGGGTGGGCACCCAACCCAGCCTGTGTTAGACTCTCTCTGGGAGCCTTGTCTCCCCCGCAGATGGCACATGAGTCAACAGTGGAGCACACTCGGCTGGACTCGGGGGAGGTTGGCACAGCCCTGCCCCCCTGGCTGGCCCAGCATAGCCACCCTGGCCAGCAGGTGGGTGGCAGGGAACAGAGAGGCAGAAGGACATGGGTGTCCTGCCACGCTGATGCCCGTGGGGTCCTGTGCCCACTGAGCCCTCTCACTGTCTCAGGTCCCCCAAGACTCCAGCGGCGAGGAGGAGGATGATGGAGAAGCCTGAGCCCACCCCAGCACCAATGGCTGCTGCTCTGGCAGGTGCCAGCCCCACAGGAGGGCATTTGGTGGCCCTGGACCACTTGCACTGCCAGACCAAAGCCACCCATGGTCAGCTGCCACCTTTGATGGCCACAGGATGATTGGTGGCCCTGCCTGTGGCCCCCATCACACCTGTCCTTAGGCTGTGGGGCCCTTCTCTCGACTGTGCCTGAAGCCAGGAGAGGGCCCCCCCAATTCTGCTGGCTGCCCCACTTTAACTAACATCCTTCCTGCCAGCTCAATGGCAGCCTGGGGCCACCCAATGCCAGGGTGAGCGGGCAGTGTTGCTGCTCCGGTATCACTGGAGGCCCTGCACCAGTCAGGGCCCCTGCAGCTCCTGTCCCTCCAGCCTCTCCACTGTGGCCCTGGGTGCAGGGGGAGGCTCTGGAGGTGACAGCTGCTCTGTGGGAACTCCCTTCACCTGCTGTTCCCCTCTTCTGTTTGCTACCCTTTTCTATTTATAAAAGATACTCAAACTCCTGGCACCACAGAGACATAAAATTGGCTGTTTTAAAGGAAAACTGCTTTGTCCCTGCACCTGGGAGGTGGGGGCAAAGGGCAATTCCCAGCAGCTGGGACAAGCACGAGCCCCTGGGCAGAAGGTGGCAGCCCCGGGTCACCTCTCCTCTGCAGAGGAGGGAGCTAGGCAAGCAGTGCTCCCCAGAGCGGAGCCAAGCCCCATGCCAGAACTCCAGGACACTGCTCCAAGACTTCTGGCATCCGGACTCAGTACGCTGAGCCAAGACCGGGGGTGTGTCGGGAGGGAAAGAGGAGGCAAAAGCGTGGGATGGGGTCAGGACCACTGCTTACCGGGGTTGGGCAGGTGACAGTGGGGCTCCCCCCATCCTCTACAGCAGCTGTACGGTCACTGCTTGCAGCAGGGACCCCTTGCCCACCCCAGAGCCAACCCCTCACCTGGTACCTTGTGCTACTGCCTGCTCCAGCTGCAAGGACAGCACCAGAGGGGCCCCGAGTGCATGTACAGGGCTCATCTGCACTCACTGGCCCATACTGAACCCCAACCATGCCCAGGAGTTTGGGGGCCTGGCCTGCTGCACCCCAAGGTCCTCCGCACCACTTTGGGTGCTGCTGTCAGCCTGCACAGAAGCTGCTGGAGCGTTGCAGGTCTTCCAGCCCCTCAGGCAGAGCTAGTACTTCTGTCCATGCCTCTGGACCTTGGTCTGCACGTGCCTCTCAGAAGGGACATCCAGATGCTGTCCAGGTATGGCACAAGGCAGCTCCAGAGCAAATCCTTTGGGACGTCACTTCCAAAACACTGAGAGGTGCTTGGAATGTTGCAGTCTGGCTGACACCATCCTACAGCAGGAAAATTAGGCAGAGGAGCTGAGGACAGTCCTGAGGGACGCAGTCTTCTACACTGCTCACTAGGCCACACACATCTCTACTGCAAGTCTTTAATATATTTAAAACAGCGCTTAGATATTTCAAACAAGCTTATTCTGTGCCACCCCCCCACGCTTACACCCGAAGGGCAGCAAGAGAAGCCAGTGGAGTGTGTGCAAGGCAGCACAGGGGGCAGGTGGACTGGCTCCACCAGGAACCCCTTAGCAGCTCTCAGGGGTGTATGAACTCAAACCCTCCAGCCCCGTCACCTCTGGCAAAGCCTTGTTTTTCTGGAAGATGAACTGAGTCTCCTCTTCAGCATCCAGGATTTCACTGAGGGATGATACCACAGGGTCATGGTCCTTCAGCATCTCTGGGTAGTGGCTCCCAGCCCGCTCAACCCGCAGCGAGCGCCGCACGGGCGTCAGGAATTTCAATTCTGGGCCTTTCGGGAACTCCCTTCCTCTATGGAGAGGACAAGAGCCTTGGGTAAACCCTGTGGAGGAGCACTGGCATGGAGGGTGCATGTTGCCAGGACCAGGGGGTTCAGCCTTACCTGGATGCAGATGTGACCCGTAACTTGACTGAGAGAGGTAGGGAGGTCAGGGGCCTCCCCACTGGGCCTGGAGTCGATGCTACGGGCTCCCTCTCACCTGGACAAGGTGTTGTAGGCTCCCAAGGAATGGGTTGCTCAGCCTTTTCCCCTGGCAAGAGAGGAAAAGGGCAATGCAGTTGCAGAGAGTGCCAGCTGGGGAGGAATAACACTGTGGTGTTTCGGACACAGGCCTGGCTGTGGAGGTGTGCCGGGGCCAGGACCCTCCCCAGCCCTGGCAGAGGAACATTCCCCATTATTGGGATTAGGATTCCAGACTTTCAAAACACTCAATCTCCATCAAAGTCAAGAGGGACATGGGGTGCTGGGACAGACTGTAGAATGTGCTGTTTCCCAGATGGCAGCAGCAGGGAGCCTTGGCTTGCCCACACTCCAGACGGCTCCCCATGTTCAGGTTACCTTCTGATGTATGGCCTGCAGCCTTCAAAATATCAAGAACATCCCTGAGCTCCTGGAGTGGCTGCAGGAAAAGCAGAACATGGGTCAGGGCAGGTCTGGTATGGCAACAGAGACCAGAGTTATAGCTGAATAGGAGGAAAGGCTTTTGCTGCATCACAACAGCAGTGTGATATGTCAGCACCCAGCACAGCTGGGCAAGTGCCCACCCTGCCCATGGAACAGGACCAGCATCTCTAAAGGGCTTTTTCACCACTAATTAGTGCTGCTAAGCTCATCCCAAAATCCAGCCCCTGGGATCTCAAGGAAGCCCACCCATTCTGAGGCAGGGACCATAGGGAGCTGGTGAGCCCCACGCACCTGAGCGCCTGCGCAGACTGCTGCTCTGTACAGCCCCATCACATCAAAGGGGCCACTCCGGGCCAGCAGCTTTGCTTGGCAGATCCAGAATTTGGCAAATTTCTCTGCCTGGGGCACAACAGACAGCACTTTTGATAGCTCCTCTGCATGGACACCCTGCAAGGAGAAGGGCAAGGACCTAGTAAAAGGTGTCCACTGCGAGGACAAGAGTATGCACTGGGAGCTGTCAGTACCTGACTGTGCTTCCAGCACTCTTCAGGAGAAAGAAGGTCTCAGGAGTCTGGGTTTACAAGTCTCCTACGTAACAACGGGCTGTCCTCCCTCTATCTTCTCCTTGGATAAATGAGTCTAGTACTCCAAAGAGCTGTCAAGGGATAGACTCCAGTGCTGGCATTATTTGAGCCACTAAATCCTGGAGCAGAGCTAGCAGGCAGTGTTCCCAGCAACAGTCCCCCACCAGAGCCGTACCTCAGACTGTGACACCAACAGGGATCTACTTCAAGCTGGTTCAATCAGCCTGGGTTTCTGTTGCAGACATTGCTTTTGCAGACTGCACTGCCAGTTTCCAGAACACCGTCAGTTACACATGTGAGTCCCACACTGCTTTTGGCTGGGGTAGAGTTAATTTCCTTCCCAGCGGTTGGTATGAGGCTCTGTTTGGGATTTGTGCTGAACACAGTGATGATAAAGATGTCTTTGTTATTGCTGAGCAAGACTTACACAGAACCAAGGCCTTTTCTGTTTCTCATACTGCCTCGCTGGGGAGCTCGGGGCACGTGGGAGATTGGGAAGAGACACAGCTGGGACAGGTGACCCAAACTAACCAAAGGGATATTCCAGACTATATGCTCAGTATATAAAGTGGGGGGACATTTAGAGTGATGTTGTCTGTCTTCCCAAGTCCCCATTATGTGTGACGGGGCCCTGCTCTCCTGGAGGTGGCTGAATCTGCCCATGGGAAGAAGGGAATAAATTCCTTGTTTCGCTTCGCTTGTGTGCATGGCTTTCACTTTCCCTGTTAAACTGTCTTTATCTCAATCCACAAGTTCTGTAACTTTTACCCTTCCGATTCTCTTTCTGATCCCACTGGTGGGGGAATGAGTGAGTGGCTGCGAGGGGCTTGGCTGCTGGCTGGGGTTAAACCACAACAGTCCGTTTTGATGGGGTACCTCTCCATTTTCCCTGTCAGTGTAGCTCACCATGTGCCTTTGACCTACCCATAACTCCGTGAGGACTTTTATCTTCCCTACCCATGTTTCCCTTCTAGCAACTGAATGCTTGCTCCCAACCCCTCTGTGCTGTGAAGGTACATGGTCTGCATCCCCTGGGATGCTCCAGGGGAGGAGGAGCCTGTTCAAGCAGCCTCTTTCCCATTCCCACCTCCTCAACAAAGTTCAGGCACTCAGTTAATATGTTGTTGATCTTCACCAGGCAGTGCTGCTCTGGATTCTCTTGCTTCTCTTTCGCCTTGACCTTTCTGCAGGGCGGCTTCACTGCCTGCTTCTGAAGCAGTGTCATCGGCGGCCGCTTGTATTTCTTGCCTTTCGATGCCAGCCACTCCTCCAGCTGTTTCCTGTCCAAGGACCAAAGTATCACCTTGGTTACCACCCCAGCAGGCAGCCAGCTCTTGCCAAGGTACTGTTTTTTCTATAGAATCCCCTGTTAGCTGACTTCAGCTGCTCAGGAAAAACTGGTACATTTATCCCAAAAACACATCTGAGCTCTAGGCTGGGAAAGGAAAACCCTCACAAGTGTAAGCCTTGAGGCTAAAACAGAATGGCCACACACTCTCCTCCCACTCACTGAATTGGTGGGAGAGGAACTCAGGGCCCCACCCAACATCTTTCCCAACTCTCTCTTTTTCAGGGCAGCAACCTCCCAACAAGCCTTCACTGATAGAGACTTCAGAGCCCATTTTCAGCAGGATGGTGCTGGCTCACCCAGTCAAACCCTTATACTCTACTGTTCCCTGGAAGACCCAGGTGACCAACGCTGCCACTTACTTACGATCCGCAGCTGATGGGATCCTGGGAACACGCCCATACTGCACGATTGCCTTCGGCAGCTCCGGTTTAAGCTGATCTTTCCTACTCCTCAAATTACCCTCAAGTGCATGAGTTTTGGAGCAGTGTGTGCTGGGAGGCTGGTTTGCGTGGTCTATCCCTCGGGATGTTGCTGTGTGTCTGGGACGCACCACGTTCATGTCCTTCCTGTCCGTCCCCCCTTTACTCATGGGCCTTGGCTGTGGCATGGTGCCACCTCGGTTCAGGCTGGATTTCAGGTTTGTTGTCCCCTGAGGCCTGCCTGAGGCCAGAGGCTTAGTGGGAGAACTTCTCATTGGGGGAGGTTGAAATTGGTGCTTAAAAACTCCCACTGGAGCTGTGCCAGGTGGCTTTCCCACAGGTTGCCTCACTGTAGTAGTTTTTTCCTGGTTTGTCCCTATTTTTCTATGTAGCAAATTAGCAGAAGCAGGAAGGTACCTAGGGGGCTGCAATGGCTGAGTTCTGACACTTGTTTTTTGAGACATGCTCTTTGAGCCTGGCAGGATTTTCCTGAATTTATCTGGAACTGGGTCTTTCTTAGCCTGGCGGTTATTAATTTTGTCCTCTGGGCCCACAACGGGCCTTGACATTACAGCTGAGCTTTGCTCGTAAGCCAAGACTCTCTTCTTCCCAAGACTGCTTCCATCAAATTGGAAATCTCTGTTTAGCTCTGGGAGTGTGGAGGCTCTTGGGCTGAGGTTTTCCTTGTGACAGACCAGCCCATCCTGCAGCTCCTCATTCAGGGACCAAGGCGCTCCAGGGGGGGAGTGGTCACTTCCCACACAAAGTGCTGCAGCAGTGATAGTGTCCTGTGCAGACTTCTTCTTCCTTTCCAGATTTAGGTGACCAGAGCCTGGAGGTGGGAGCCTGCCTCTGGTCTGTGCAGAAGCAGGAAGCTTTGTGCTCTTCCCTGGCTGCACTGGATGCACCCCCACTGCTCTCTGGGATGTGTTTGAAGGCTTCTGCTGACTAGCGTGGCCAGTGTGCTGTGTGGATTTGGCACTAAGCTTGCCATCCTCCTGAGCACTCTTCATCACATTTCTGAGAACATCCTTCTTGTTCCTGTCAACCTGGAGAGACAAAGCAGCCCTCAGCTCCAAGAAGAGCTCAGCTTGGTCAGACCCTGAGAGCTGGCCCAGGGGGACAGCCATGCGAAGGCCTGTGGTGACAAAGCAGTTGTCAACAGAACGGTAACACAGCACCCACCAGGACACGGGCAAAGGATCGGTCTTCTAAATTGAAACTCCTAACTAAACTAAACTAAGCTCCTCTGAAAAAATAAGTAGTTGACTCATTGCCAGCTATTTAGCAATCTGTTGAGTGTCCTCATTTGGAGTCAGGAACTCATGACCCTGACTTGAGGATGTGGTTTGCAAAGAAAGTTACTGACCCAAATTGCAGCAAGGATGAAAAATTATTATGACTAAAGCCCACTCTCTTGTGACCCTATAAATAGAGGTCCTGAGTGAGACCCTTTGAGCCCTCCTGGACTGCAGTGGGCTATGACCACCATCTCCCTCTGAATGGGGCCTCTCAGAGCCAGCAAACTCTCACATTTACTATACTTGGAGGATCAGCGAACGAGGATGATGGAGCCTCTCCTCAAGGCTCAACCCCCCACCCACTGAGAAGATGCAAAGGTGGTGACATGAGTCCTTCACTGAATTTGAGGGGAATTTTTCACAGGTACCTTGTACAGACTCTTTAGGCCTGTGTGCATGTGACTGTGAATATGCTACAGCAAATCTACCATGAAGGTGGGTCTCCTTGGTTCTTAAGTACTTTAGATTTGTAAGTCAATCAGGCCTGTGACTTACTGTTGTGCTACAGTAAATTCTATATGAATCCTTTGCTAAATTGTTTAACTTAACCTATTGATTAAGTGCTGTTAGAACATGTAGGCCTTAACTGTAAGTCAGGTCCTGGCCTCAGATTAGCAAGGGGGTCTGCTCTGAAACTTGTGACTCAACAGATGGGTCTTCCTTATTCCTTTTTATCCTTACCCTTTCCCATCCTTATCCTTCCCTCCTCCGGCCCAACCCCCAAGCTCAACATAGATAATTTTTAGGTTGGTTTTGTTTTAGATTGATTGATTTTAGGTTTAACCATCCAGTAAGTAGTAGATGAACCTTGCCAATGAACTCTTTTGTGCTTTCACTTTTATATTAAACTTGCTTTTGCCAATACCTTTGATGGTGTTTCTTTAAGCAACCCTAAAACACTCATTTGCAACAGGCGACCCTGTTCTGCCCAGACTCACTTCAAGCATGAAAGACTCAAAAGCTTTCTACTTACATGCTTGAGTTTAGAAACTGGTTCTAAGTGTGGATTCAGGTCATTTGTCCGGTCCTTTAAAAAGGGTCTGTAAGAGTAAAAAAAGTTATCAGGTTATTTAACAAGTTATTGGGTTATTTAACAACTGATCGGGTTATTTATCAGCCATTGCAGAAAGGGTCAAATATATGGTTGTTTCAGACACAGGAGCTTAGGAGAAGCTTTCAGAAATCAAAAACCTGTCAAGGAAGTACCACATTCTGTAATTCTTTTTCTTTTGTGAAGCAATAGGAAAGCAACACAGACCATTAACATCCAAGGTTGTCACAGAACTTCCACAGACAACAAAAGTAACCAAAACGGTTCATGCAGGCTAGAGTCTGGCAGGCAAGGGGTTTGGAGGCTCCTGACTTGTCCTGTGTGCCACAGACAGCTGAAGTCATGCTGCTACCACGCTGCAGGTCACAGTGGTGCCTTGGAGCGTCCCAGCCAGGGCTCACTGCAGCATGGCCAACCCACGAGCCCCACAACTGCCTGGATACTGGCAGCAAAGCAGGAAGGTAGGACTGCAGCCTACTGTCAGCTACCACAGTCCCATCCTCCTCCTGGAATTGGAGCCCTCTGACAGCAGCCAGCTATGAAGTTCTCCCACTCCTCAGCTCCGGGGCAAGCAGCTCAGCCCTCAGGGAAGGTTAATGCCTGTGCAGGTATTTTTCTGTAAGAAAAGAGCCTGGATAGTGAGGTGATCATCCCAGTTCTACACAAGTGCTATACTATGTCATAAAGAAAGGTCCTGAATCTTCTCTCCTCATTTCTATTACATCAGTGGTGTTTCCCAGAGCCTGGCACCAGGGATCTGTTTGCTCTTTCTGCTCTCTGATCCTGCTTCTCCCCATATTTTCCTGTCATGCGCACTGAAAATGCCCCTTCCTGATATTAACCTATCCCAAAGGCCACTAGAAGCTGCCATTAAAAACCAGTGTCAGATTCCAACCACCCCTTCCTTGAGACCCAATTCTGAAGATGAGTTGTTGGCAGCAAGGTCTGTTCCGCCAGAGCCAGGAGCTGAGATGAGAAGGTTTCACAGAGACTCATAAAATACCCAGAAGAGATTCCATCAACCATTGGGAAATGCCAGCACTCAAGCTGTTCTTTTGATCCCGCTGCCAGTAACTACAGAGCAGTGCTGGGGTGCTGTGGGGGCAGAACCCAGACAGCGGGGCCCTGGCAGGAGCTGGTTCTCTGTATGCAGGTGAGAGAAAGCAGACACTGGCCAGTGGGGAAAAGTCACTTATAACTCAGAAAATCGCTGAGCGATTTGGGCCAGAAGGGACTTTTACAGATCATCCTCTTGACTTACTTTGCACTCGGGCATTTCAGGCTTTCCTTGGCTGCTCGGCAGTTTGGCAGCTGGCTCCTCCGCTGCTCTGCAGAGAGATGACAGGAGATGTGCATGCAGCAACTACCTCAGTCCGTGGAGAAGGAGTACCCATGACAAACGATTTCTGTTACCCTCACACACTACCTTGCACTCCTCTGCCTGGGGAGTCTGGTAATGCTGTGCCCTGAAATTCCAATGCACACGATATTGCCCAGAGGCTCATTGGCACTTAAGCTCCCTGACCCTCACAGGGTGGTGCTGCTCAACACCTCAGCTGTGCCAGGCTCAGTCAGTTTGCAGAGGGAAAGGGGAGACGCTGCCCATGACCCCCTTGCAGCTGTGTATCCTGCGGGCCTACACCCAGTGGTGGCCAAAACCTCTTCTAAGACAGGCAACAGGGAAAAATGAAGAGTATCGCAGCAGGGGGACAGAGGATACCTCTGACATCCCCAGTATGGCTGCGGCATTGGGGCAAGAGTCCAGCATCGCCCTGTCCCCAGGGCCCCCCACATTCCTAACACTGTCCCACCCTCACCCCCTATGTGTCCTGGGCTCCGAGGGCATCTCCAGCACCCCCAGCCCTTTGCCCTGAAAGGCTTCCACAAAGCCCCAAAAGCATCGCGGCCCCGCGACAAACCCCCAGCCCTCCCATACTGCCCTCCACCCAGACCGCGTCCCTGGGCCCGTTTCGTGGGGTACCCCCCACGGGTTGCCGCACCCTCACCCCCTCTGACCACCCAAACCTCCTTCCCAAGGCCCCAGCAGCCCCTCAGGCCGCCCCTGTCCCTTTACCAAGAGCCTCCACTGGCCTGTCTCTGGCCGCCCCCAGCCCAGCACCCCCCGCACTCCCATCCCACGGCACTCGCGGCCACCCCGCAGGGTCCCCGCGGAGTGTCCCCGTCCCAAAGGGTCCCCAGGTCGCAGGAGCCCAGAGCTCCGCTCCCCGTCACCCCCACAGGGCCCCGCACAGGGAGCGCCCGCAGCCCCCAGCCTCGGGATCCCTCGAACCCGGCCCCAGAGCCCCCCGGCCCCTCACCGGCCGCCCCCGCGCGCTCCATCCCGGGCGCTGCGACCACCGACACTTCCACCAACCGCCGCGCCGCGTCCATTGGCCACCGCTTTCTTCAAACCGACCAATAGAGAGAGGGAGCCGGCGGCTGGCGGCGGGGCCGGCAGACAGCAGAGCTGTGATTGGCTGGAGGCGGGCAGGGGGCGAGGACAACGGCCCTCTTTGGCGGCCGAGCCCCCGCGGGCGGGGCCCTGTGATGACACAGGGGGACGCACTGCGACATGTCGTGACACACTGTGCCAGGCCACAACATGCCACGCCACGGTATGTGAAGCCGTGGCCACGTCTGGCCACGCTACGCTATGCAACGCCATGCAATGCCACGCAATGTCGTGCCATGCCATGCCGTGCTGTGTGATGGCATCACATGATATGGCATGGTGTGGTGTGAAATTGCGTGACACGGCACACCATACCATACTATGTGATGGCATACCACGCCATGTAATGCCCCGCCACGCCATGCCATGCCATGCCATGCCATGCCATGCCATGCCTCTTGCCGTCCTGCTGCACTGTGGCCCACTGTGCCATGCCTTAGCAGTGAGCCAGGGTAGTGGCAGCAGCTGGAGCAGAAGTGACAGCCCTGGGTGGCTGCCAGGATTTGCATGACTTCCACCTGTGGGATGCCCACCCCAGTTACTCCCCAGCTGTGTGGTGGGCATGGGGACAAGGAGGTGGAGGATCCTGCATGGGTCTGGCCAAATCAGGGTGGTCCCTGGGCTGTGGGGTTGCCCCCTACACCCTGGGCTTTCACTCAGGCTTGGAGAGTGCCCAAAAGCAGCCAAAGCAGTAGGATTTTCCCATCTGTAACCCCCGTGAGAGCAATGAGCTGAGCAATTCAGCCCTGGAAAACCTTTTATTTCCACTTCCATCTCTACAAACACTAGCGTTCCAGATAACAATAAAACACATACAAGTTAAAAGCAGCAATAAATAAAATAAATATAAAAGCACTGGCCAGACACAATAAGTAAATAAATAAGGATTGGGGTGTCTTGAGCCCATGGGGCCCAGAGCTACTATTTCATCTGAAGTAGATGGTGAGAGGGGTCCCATCCCAGGGGGTTGTACTCAGTACATACAGCCTGAAAACCGGTGACTGCCGGTTGGGTTGGTGCGGGGTCTTCAGCGCCCGCTCAGCTCGTAGGTAGCAATGTTCACTTGGTCAGGAGCGTTGGTGATACCCACAGGCTGGCGGGGCTGCAGGGATGTGCAGACGAACCAGCCAGGGAAGGCAGCGGACTCGAAGCGGGTAGTCCCCTCGGCCGGGCTGTCCAGACGGTAGAAGATGAAGCGGGTCAGCTCCACGGTCTCAATATCCCTCCTGACATCAGCTTCCTACAGCCAGTGGGGTGAAACAGGGGTCAGAGTGGAATGGAGCCCCCAGCCCCATGAAGGATGGACTGGCAGGACCCCACGCTCACCTCCAGCTGCAGCACGGGCTTGGCGCCACTCATCACACACGACATATAGAGCTGGTAGCCCTTGATACCCAAGGCCACAGGCACCCGCCCAGCCCCTGGGCTGCCCTGCGATGACCGGGGACGGTACAGAGCGATGTTGAGCTTCACTGCAGAGAGAAGGGACGGGTTAATAGGTGGTTCCAGTGCTGTCGAGTGGCTCCCACGTGGTCCTGGGGTGGGGGACAGGGACATCGGGATGGGATTGTGTCCCCTCACCTTTCCGTCCGGCAGAGGGTCCCTGCAGGTGCAGGGCCACCAGCTGGGTTGGCGACTCCAGCACAAAACACTTGTGGTCAATGTCCAGGATGTCAAAGGACTGGGAGCGGGTGTAGCGGAAGACGGGTGCCCCAGCATAACTGCCCTTTATGTGCTGGAAGGAGATGGGCTCTGTGGGGAGGGAGACAGTCAGGGGGATGCTGATGCTTCCAGGTTCAAGAGCATTCCCCAAGAGCATCCCCCGGCTGGGGCGACACCCCTGACATTACCCCCATACCAAAAAGATCATCCAAGAAGCTGCCAAGGTCACTGTCAGCAAAGTCCTTGTGCGCTGGCTGCTTTAGGAACTTGGTCACAGCAACCACCAGGACAGCAGCCCGGCGAAAGGTCCTGGCAGGGTGTCCCTTGGTCACTGTCACTTGGATGCCCACCCTGGGTGATGTCACCTCCAAGTCCAGTCGGGGTTTCTGGGGAGAAAAGGGAAGGGTGAGTGCCAGGCTTCCCCACCGCACGGATCTCATTACTCCCACTGCCCCAGTGTTACCTTCTGCGGGCAGAGGCAGTCGGGGCCATAAAACATCTCCTCATTTAGGCTGAAAGGCAAAGGGAGATGGTGAAGTCAGGGCCACCAGTGCAGGATCATGTCCCCAAAGTCCTCTCTGGCACGGCCATGCTTACCTGCTATTCTCCAGTGTGTCCAAATCAGGGACGAATGCCATCGCCACCACTGACTGCAGAGTCCTGGGCAGAGACTTGACAGTACCTGGGAAGTGTTATGGCACTTGGCTTCGGGCTCCTGCCTGCCCCGCTCTCTGAGCCTGGCTCTAGCGTGGCCGGTTTTCAAGAGCCTCTGGAAGGAAGCGCCGTCAGAACGGGATTTCCAGCTGTCGCAATGCCCGGTTTTGCCCAGTTCCTCCTTCTAGACTGGTAGAGCTGTGGGGGTTGGCTGCCCCCAGCAGTGCACTGGGGAGGCTGAGTGTGGGGCAGAGCAGGGGATGCTCCAGGATTGGAGTGTGGGGGAGAGTGAGGGGATACTTTGGAGCTGGGGTGTGGGGCAGAGCATGAGGATGCTCCAAGGCCAGTGTGTGGGGCAGAGGGCAGAGAGGATGTTTGGGATTGATGTGTGGGACCAGTGACCGTGTGCCAGCCCCAGCCCCAGTCCCAGCCCCGCCCAGCAGGGCTGTGATGACACCCACCCTTGTCAAGGCCACGACCTGCAGCCGCCCCAGAAAGGGCTGTGGCGCAAATGCTGCCACTCCACCATTTCCCCACGGCTTCCTCCTTCGCTGCACAGACCCAAGCACTGCAGTCAGCTGTGCTCCCTCTGTCCCCTCTCCTGTCTGTCCCCACTGCCCTAATACCAGACGGCACAGGGCCCTGCTGGCCCCTGGTCCCTTGTGTCCACCCATGCCACCTTTGGGACATGGCCATCAGGGACGTGGTCTTTGGGGACACTCCTCATCCCCATGTCCATCCGGCATGCCAGAGGTTGCACCACACTGGCAGGGCCGGGGATGTGCGTGGCCAGGCTTGCATGACTGTGGGCTGCCAGGGTGTTTTCCTGGCACCTGTTTCACTTCCCCAAAGTGCCACCCTGCCCCTGCCCCTGGGCTCAGGACCAGTGACACCATGACTCACCGGCAGGAAACTGCCAGAACCCCAGAGCTCCCCCGGCACTTCCTTTGACCCTCTGAGCCCCCACTGGCTGTCACCCACGCTGGGATATCCCCAAAGGCCTGAGGTCTCCCAGGGCAAGGGGAACTCCACGCCACGGTGGAGGTCCTCAGGCCATGACAGGGGCACCCAGGCCATGGTTGGGATCCTCAAGGCGCGGTGAGGGTTGCGGGCCACGGTAGGTGTCCCAGGCTGTACAGGGGGGCCCTCGGCCATAGGGACTGTCCACGGGCGACGCCAGTACCCCGCCCCCATCCCAGGGGTCACCTCGCGCGGCGGGCGGCGCAGGCGCATTGGGACGAGGCGGAGGGGCGTGGCCAGGACGAGGGGTGGGGCGACGCTGTGACGCACGGGCGGGGCGGGGTGGGACCGGTGGTCGGGGCCGCTGTCACAGCTGGGGCTGCGAGCGGGGCGGACGAACGCGCCGGTGGGTCCTGCGTCGGGGCCGAGCGGCGGGGCTGGGCGGTGGGGGCCGGGCGGTGGGGGCCAGGGCTGGAGCGGGGCGGGGGGCGCGCGGGGCGGACGGGCCGCGCCCCTGTGTCCTTGGCGGTGCCGCCCGGGCGCCTGTTGGGGGGGCACTGCCCCGAGACGGACAGCCTGGCGGCCAGTGGGAAGGCGGCTCGGCGGCTCGCGCCGCTCCTATAGGCGGCGAGGAGCGGGCGATGATTGGCGGGCGTGGGGTGGAGGCGGGCCCAGACGGTGGCGGCGGGCGGTGATTGGCGGGCGCGGGGAGAGGGCGGGGTTACCGCCCTCGCGGGGCGGGGCGGGGGTCGCGCGACCCCTTCCCGCGCCCGCCGCACGCGGGGCCCCTGCGGGGCCGCCTCGTCTAGCCCGCCCGGCCCCCACCGTTCCGCCCGTCCGAGCCCGCGGGGCCTCCTGGGGCCGCCTGGGGACTCTGGTGGGCCGGGGTCGGCCGTGCAGCCTCCGCATAGGATACGCGCCGGCCCCCGCCCGCCCCAGGGCCCTTGGCTACCGCGGTCCCGAAGGTGCCCACTGCTGGAGCAGCTGTGGCTGCAGCCTTTAGCCCTGGACCTCTGGCCTCCTGGAAAGCGGAATTTGTGCTGTTTTTAACCCAAAAAGTATTCCCTAGTCCCAAGTCTTTCCCAACTATCCCTCATCTGTGGTGGCGTCCCCATCCCTGCTGCCGGGGGTCAGATTTAGCACCTTAATCTGCTTATTGGCGCGCTCT